AAGATCCGGCAAGAAACTCAGTGGGCTAAAATTGTAATCAGTCCTGTTTACTGGTTTAGATATATTTGGAGGTGTACGACAAAGGGCAGATCTTCCACCGAGCGGGAGTAGTTGCTCGGTAGATCGACGGTCCATAATTCCGTGGAACAAAAACGAAATATACACTGAATATGAAGCGGCTTGGCTCTGCCCCTGGCATTGGTGAAGTCCATGGGCGACGGTAACCACTCACCATCGGGTGGGCCGTATGGTCGTCTGCCTACAAAGACAACAGGAAAAAAAAGAATCTCACGGCACCAGTGATGACGGTCTTATTAAGATCGCTGGGCGATGATTAATCAGTCTTTGTAAAATCCCGACATTCGAAAGAGAAGGTAGGATATTCACGGTTTCAACTCTTCAAACTGAAAACATTAACTTGTCTTCCAATTTTTAAAACAACTTTATTTTCCTTCCCACGCTTAGACCTTAGCCTTGAGAGGCCTATGCCAGCGTAACCGGACGAGATTTAATATTTTAAGACAAAATTTCTGTAGAAAACAACTAAAATCGTTAACTAAATGATATACGCGATTCTTACCTTGATAGATCCCAGACGAGGCCGCACGATCCGCTGCCCGCGCTAGGTACCAACGTCATCGACGCGAATAAATAAAACAAAACGCACACAACTTTAAATTTGTTTTTAATCAATAATTTAAAGCTTACAGGAGACATATTCTTTTTGTGTTTCGAACGAACGAACGCGGATAGCCGCTCGTTCGTATTCAGGGATCAAGTTAACTGAAATTACAACCACAACGTTCGGACTACGCGAGTACCTGGAAACAGCTCGCATCTAATGCGCCGCTCGCGTCGTCCTTCGTAGCGAAAATCAACCAAGAACAAAAAAAAAAAACAAAAAAAAAAAAGAAGACAAACAAACAAGAGAACACAATCAATTCATGATTTCTAAAAAGAGTATTTTCAAATCCATTTCAAAACCTCGTATCGCAAAACGTTAAAAACATATCCCGCCCGACGACGCGCGGCTCTCGTCAAAACGCTCGCCGCTTATCGATTGCACGCCAAACGCTGTCCTAATTCATAGGCGTGCGCGTTTTTTAAATACGTCATACAACACAAATCGCTTGATATTTAGCGGAACGAGACACGGGGGGCATTCGCGTAGGCGCCGTGGCTCAGCCGCGCTTAACTAATTGACAACACCCCCTCCCAACCTACCTCGCTCCCTTCCTCCCCCGGAAACACGCCGACCGGTCGAAACGAGAAAAAAATTAACGTTCACAGCTTCGTTAATTCCAAATGAGCGTTTCGTAAAAATCCATAAAAAATATATCACGAGAATTTGAACACAAGCACGTAGGTAGTTAAGTTGAATTTACCTTACGCTTGTGCGGCGAACACGCGCGTCACACGAGCTGCCCTAAGCTAAACGGTAGCTATCTGTCGCCTCTCATCTCGCAAATGTATAAGGACATAATATTCATCTTTATTTTTTCTATATATATATTCAACATAAATCTTTCTCCTCCCGACAAATGACTCGGTAACAAATGCTTAGAAACACAACCGTGGACATACAAAAACGTATATTTGACGAAGTCGGAGCTAAGATTCTCGTCTGCGTTAACGTTAACATTTTCTCTATATAACCTCAAGCTTAACCGCACAGTTAAAACAGGTCGCTAATTTTCAACAGTCAACTTCGAAAAACAATTGCTCGCATCAAAATCTTATTCCCTTGATCAATATTAAAAAAAAAAAAAAATACGCCATAGACTACATTAGCTCCAAAGTCGGCATTTTATCTCAGACGTTATTAGCTCGACCGACCGAGTATCCCGCAGTCAGGTGACGAAACACAAATTTCACCGACCCGATATATTTACAGGAAGGGACTCAAACCCGTCGAAAACTAAACGTATTTCACGAAAAAACACAAACCCGGACTTATTTACCGGAGTACAGTCGGACGTTTCGAATTCCCGGGATTACATAGAGAACCAAAAAAATACCGGGCTAAAATCACGTCGCCCCGGACGAGGCAGCCGACAGATTCGACAAATAATAAACTTTATTCTAGAACAATAACACACCTCAAAGCCGAATACGAGACGCGCTAGAAATTAATACACCAAAAAGTTTTATTGAACACCCGTCAGTCGGCTGCCAGTCAGTCAATTGCTTAGACGATTTTTTTCTTGTTTTTTTTTTTTTAAATTCCCTAGGCCCACGTGTAATCGATTCAATATACATACAATTTTATTGAGCTCTCTATATACATTTAGTTTCGTAGGAGCTTAAATACGAAAGCTCGAATTGAGCGGAAACGCTATCAAATTTTCCTCCTATTTTCTTTTTTGTCAATTCGATTATTTATATATATATATATATATATTTTTTTTTTCTTTTCTAACGGAGAACACATTAATGATCGTATTTGTACTATCAAAACATTTAAACATTCTTTTCGATATCGATATATAAATCGATTACAATCGTTCTCGGTTGTTTATAAAATCGATGTTCAGTATCGATATTTGGATCGGTGTTAGTGACGATGAACTGAATATTTTCAGTGGTATTTTTATGACAATTTCGTTTTGTTTATTTATTTATCGTAATCATTTTTAAATTCGTCGACTTTATTGTAATGTATGTATAAAGAAGAAAAGAAAAATACCACTGAATTACATTTGACTGGATTGTTTTTTTTTAAATATTCAGATAAAAAAAACACGACATTAAATAAGACACGAACCGCGCTTGAGATTTATTTTAAATTATTGCTTCATCTTTCTCTTCGACATATCGATTCACTCAAAAACCTCAATCAACAGTCAACCAAATGGTGGTTTTACAATATAATATTTAAGGAACCACTCATTTTTCAACAAATTACAATTTCTATTTATTCATTTGACTATTCGTGATGCGAGCACATTCATATCGGACTCGGAACGTTACAAATTTCCGTTTGACATTACAATTTTAAGACAGTCACGTCAATGACTCTGTTATTGCTAATGTATTTTTTTTTTGGCTTGGGACGGTACTAGTGTGAGTGCGTTTAAAAGCTAGAAAAGGAAACGGTTAAATTCGGACGCGATTTGTGTGTAGCGCGGTAACCATGGCAACCGGTTTCCGAACGACGCAGCTTCCGGAAAACCAGTTAGGGTTGCCATACTCTCATATTTATACTTGATATTTATTCAATGTAATTAATAAAAAATATATCCAATATAACCGAATAACTCAAAAAATTTTAGTAGAGGCGTAAATTAAAAAAAAAGTTTGATTCGAAAAAAAAACAGCCAAAAAGTTCTTAATCAATTCGCGACCGACGAGACATCAATACGTACATTTTTTAATCTATCTAATAATGTTTAACATTTAACAAGTTTTATAGTTTAAGTACATTTCTTAAATTTATATTTATGTATTATTATTTTTTAAATAGTATTTCGATGATTACAAACAATTAATTGTACGATCAGTCTCGTTGTACTAGTCAGAATTTTTTTATTGTGTTTTCAAAATTTTCATCGACAATTCCAAGCTTCCTTAAATTATGAATACATACGGGATGTTAGCATTTTAAACACACTGAACACTATCGAGCGGACACCCGTACCTCAAAATGCACATTACGTCATTTGAAAAACATTATTCTCAATCACGGGGATGTTTAAAAATTTCGAAAAAAAAAAAATTTAAAAAAAAAACACTCAATTTAAAAACATTCCTTGTCAGGGAGCACGGGTAAGGTGACGCGAATTGTGACGTCATCAACGTTAATTCTTAGCTTTTAGCGTTCGGCGGGAGCTTTTGAAAGCGTACAAGAACAATCGATCGGTGAACAACAACAAAACGTTAAGTCCTTAAATTGAGCAAAAATTTCGATAATTTAAACATCCCTATTCTTGACGATATAACACGAGGGAGAACGTTCCGTGACGTCATCACTTCTCGACTGCTGACGCTGATAAAGGACCGCTTAAATTCGTTAATGACGTAAGCACGAATAGACTAATCCGAGTGGCCGCCCATTGGTCAATCACAGCCATTATTATTTACGCTTCCATAATTTTTACCATCAATAAGCCCTGATTCGCACGGGCGTTTTAAAAACGTCGCGAAGCGACGTAATCTGTAACGCCCAACGCTTAGCGCTCAAAATGCAACACTGCGCGATAAAAAAGCGCTGACATATGAACATACACTAGGAAATGAATCTGTTCTATTTGAACGCTTTTATAACGCGCGCTAAAAAAAACTCCCGTGCGAATGAGACCTAAGGCTGTATTCAATTCAATTAATGGCATTTACAATATCAAATTGAACCGAATCAACTGTAATGCTACGGTCGTCAATCTTCGTAATCGTCCATAGTTTAATCGTAATGCGAGACGACACACATCTTGTCTTTCTTTTCATTTTTAGTCTTTTCAATCTTTCCGTAGCTTCTCAAAGTTTGTTACACTAAAAAGGCGGTATTTCTTACGTAGCCGTTTACTTTTGATAGTCGAAAAATAATAATAATAATCGTAGTGTAAAAATTAGTAAACGTTGTTGGATTGAGAAACAATTCGATTCTGTGAACTCACCCGTATAGAATACAGCAGCACAATTTTCTTATATGACATTAAACACTAAACGCATTGTTGTTTTGACATACGATAAAGCTTTCAATATTCAGCAATTTTTGTGTGTTCAAAAGTGAACGATCTTGCTTTGTTACGATACAGTATTAAACGTTTTAGAGATCAACAAAAAAGTTCGTCAATTATCTAGTCGCAACCTAAGTCCGCTGTTATATTCTAATACTAGTGTGCTTAGTGTTCGTTTTTTAACGATCTCGATAGCGTAAAAGTTAACTCAAATTTGTATGCAGTTGGAACAGCGCCCCTAGTGGCAAACGTAGGTAAACGTTTCAACCCCATACAGATTAGAGTTAACTTTTTTAACGTTCTCGATAGCGTAAAAGTTAGTTCAAATTTGTATGCTGGTAAAACAGCGCCTCTAGCGGCCAACGTTACAACTCCATACAAATTTAACTTTTACGCTATTGAGAGCGTTGAAAACGCTACAGAGTTGCAACGTTTGCTTACGTTTGCCGCTAGGGGCGCTGTTCCAAATGCATACAAATTAGAGTTAACTTTTACGCTATCGAGAACGTTAAAAAACTCGCACTAAGCACGCAGAAGTGATGTTTACGACGGAGAGCCGTGTGGTGTGGTTCAGTTGTTTCGATGTATTGCAGGGCGGGTTCAGTTGCGCGCGGGAGGGGTCGGGGCGTGGTGTCGCTCCAGCTCCTCCAGCGAGAGCGCGTTGGGCACGTGCACGGAGGGCAGCTTCCCGGCCGAGGCACGTGCCAGCAGCTCCGGGGAGAACCACCGCGCCAGCTGGTTGTCGCCGCCCGCCGCGCCGCCTCCGCCCAGCTCTGGACATACACGAACAATGTTCAAACTGATTTACTCGACCGCGTATTGCTTTTTTTTCCTACCTAAGCTGAGAGGCTATATCAGCGTAGCCTTAACTAGTAGGTGAGCTCACGGGGCTCAAACCTGATGACGTTGCTAACACGAACCCTAGCAAGAGCCGTGCTTCGAAGAATCTACCACCGGATCGGAAACGCGACCCACTGAGAAGATCCGGCGAGAAACTCAGTGGGCTGTGTCTGAGGGTTAATTTACTCGTCGAGCCCTTCGTCGCAACCGACGGGTTCGACGAGAACGGTGACCGGTGCTTGAGGTACCTAGAAGCACCGTTAGTGGATCGGGAGGATCCGAAATGACGTGTTTTGGGCGACGTCGACTGCTTTCCATTCTGTCCGCAAGATCGGTAATGTAGTTGCCGGCGGCCACGATGAGAGGGTTCTCGTGTCGTGCCGCTTATTCGAAGTGGGCGCGTATTGCAATATAGCAGAGTGGTTAGTTCAAGTTTTTTAACGTTCTCGATAGCGTAAAAGTTAACTTAAATTTGTATGGATTTGGAACGTTTGCCTGCGTTTGCCGCTAGGGGCGCTGTTCCGACTGCATACAAGTTTGAGTAACTTTTACGATATCGAGAACGTTAAAAAAACTCGCACTAAATTCAAGGAATACCAACAGTAACTGTGTGCCAAGTAATCGGATACTCAATCAATGTTAATACTACTGTAAAGTTATTACCGGTGGTAGGACCTCTTGTGAATCCGCGCGGCTAGGTACCACCGCCCTGCCTATTTCTGCCGTGAAGCAGTAATTTCGGTTTGAAGGGTGGGGCAACCGTTGTAACTATACTGAGACCTTAAAACTTATATCTCAAGGTGGGTGACGCATTTACGTTGTAGATATCTATGGGCTCCAGTAACCACTTAACACCAGGTGGGCTGTGAGCTCGTCCACCCATCTAAGCAATAAAAAAAAGAATGTATTAAGTAGTGATTATGATACATACCATTCATGCTTCGCTGGTGGGACTGAACGAGCAGCTGATGCAGAGTGGTTCCACCGGAAATACCTCGGTTCATGTTATTTATATTATTATACTGAAAATACAAGTATTATTCATTAGTTTATTTACCAAAATTATCATACTATTCAACTAAATTTAATTTAACATTTTTATTATAGTATAGTCATAAAAAGTAGATACAATCACAAAGTATCGTGATGACAAAACAATCAATTGGAAATTGAATATAAAGATTTTCCTACATTCCATTTCGTTGCATGTATGTATACATTACGTACAAGTGAAATCAACAGTAACAATGAAGTAACCATTCATGATATGCAATGACGTGATGTGCGTTGCCCCAGCTATCGATTTTTTATTTATTTATTGCTTAGATGTCTGGACGAGCTCACGGCCCACCTGGTGTTAAGTGGTCACCGGAGCCCATAGACATCTACAACGTAAATTCCGCCACACACCTTGAGATATGAGTTCTGAAGTCTCAGTACAGTACAACGGTTGCCCCACCCTTCAAACCGAAACGCATTACTGATTTACGGCAGAAACAGGCAGGGTGGTGGTACCTACCCGTGTGGACTTACAAGACGTCCTACCACGAGTATATTTATACCACCAGTTGTTTTTATTTTATTTTTTATAGCTCGGTGACGAGACCTTTAAGCCAAGTCTGATTTTATCGTCAAACATTGCTTTGACATAAAAATAATATGAAGCGAAATGAAATTAAGTAGATTACTTTGAGACTAATCTTTTTTTTTTGAGCTGAGATCTTGTGTTATATGATGACTACCTGCTACACTAGGATCAAACAAATGTAATGAATGATGAGTTCTCACCGTATTGGGTCCTTGCTGTCTCTGTTGCTGAAGGGGAAACTGACGGACGCCGCCGGGCATTTGCTGTGAACACATATAGATGTTGAATCAATAACAAGTCGGTCATAACAGTTTTTGCATATACAGATACAGCACTCGTATGTGTGTAAGTAATATGGGAGTTTCAATTGTGAATATGCTAATTTATAATCACAAAAAAGTATGTTCTTAAACTAATTAGTTTAAGAACATATTACAATTACAGAGGTGTAATAAAAATGTTTTTTTTGTCGGATTGTCTTTGTGGGCAGACGAGCATACGGCCCCCTGATGGTAAGTGGTCACCGTCGCTCATGGACGTCAGCAATGCAATCTTTGTTTGTTGCGTTCAATACAATTTTAAAGATGTAAGTCTAAGGGTCTATCTCATTCATCGAGGGGTATCTCATTCTTACAAGTGAATTTTGTATTTCACTATAGTTACATTCAAAATTTCTACAAAGATCATAATAAATTTGCAATAAAATGTACTTATATGCACTTTTTTTGTTATCATATCGACTCGACTTACCTTAATAATTGGTATAGTCTATATGCATTTAAATGAGTTGTATACTCTACTAATTTTAAAAAAAACAATACTAATTCAGGGGTAGATAATTCGAAACGTACCTGCTGTTGGTTCATATAGTGTTGGTAATCGTTCGACACAGGATTGTAGTTCATAGGAACTGGGCCGCTTTGGTTCCCCTGAAAATTATTAATAATTGAAACTTTCAAAACTTTCACAAGAATACAAAACTAAGCGATTGCTTGTTCGGTTGTTTTTATTACACTCGATACGTAAAGATGTTGAGGTTGAAATCTTGAAATACATAGCACATCACTAAGTTTAGTACTAAGTCTTCATCTTTGCCTATCCCACCAGATAACCTGGCACTAAACTGAGACCTTCGATACTAAAAATATACATCTTTATAGATAGACTAGCTGACCCGACAGACTTCGTAGTGCCTCAATCGATAAATAAAAGACCTAAACTTTTGTATAAAATTAACTTAAAACAAACAAAAGGAATCCGTCCGACGGGGTACACACAAAATTGTTATTTTTATTTAATTCCGAGCATTTTCATATTTATCTACCTTTTAAACCTTCTCTGGACTTCCACAAATAATTAAAGACCAAAATTAGCCAAATCGGTTCAGCCGTTCTCGAGTTTTAGCCAAACTAACGAACAGCAATTCATTTATATATATATAGATATAATTCTACTGTACGTGTGTATGTCACTGAACTCGTCCTAAACGGCTGGAACGATTTGAATGGTTTTTTTGTATGCGTTTGGGTGGCGCCCTGGATGGTTTAGATTCACAAATCAGCCCGACAGATGTCGCTGCAGTCGGTAGTACTTATATAGGTTTTTAATAAATATTGATTGCCCAATAAACTACCAAATATAAGGCAAACAAATTTGTTTAGCACACGAATGTTTGCCGTTATGGGAATCGAACCCACGACCCTCGGCCCATAGTCGAGCCGCAAATCACTGTGCCGCCGAGTGTATAAACAAGCAGGATACCTTGACAATGGGTCGTCCCTGCGGTATCTTGTTGGACTGCCACTGTTTAGGGCTCGGCGAGTCGGATTCCTTCTCAGCTGTCATCTTACGTAACACCTTAAAAAAATCATATTTAGGTAAATGATTAAACTCGAATTAAATATGTAATATAAATATTTTGTAATATATTACTGGGTGCAGTACATAAAGTACGTACATATTCGAAATAAAACAAGACACGAATGTCTTGTCGATTCTTCTCAACGATCAGTGTTTTTTTTATTGCTTAGATGGGTGGACGAGCTCACAGCCCACCTGGTGTTAAGTGGTTACTGGAGCTCGTAGACATCTACAACGTAAATGCGCCACCCACCTTGAGATATAAGATCTAAGGTCTCAGTATAGTTACAACGGCTGCCCCACCCTACAAACCGAAACGCATTACTGTTTCACGGCAGAAATAGGCAGGGCGGTAAATAAAGTAATGAAGTAATAATAAATACACCAGCAATAATAAATAAAGTTATTAAGGTTTAAAAGTGCCTATTTAAATAAAACAAAACCTTTTGTTCACGCATCTGCCATGATGAGGATGTCGATTCTTGAAATTATTGTATTGGTATTATGTTATTGGTATTATTGTGTAAATTTTCGCCACCAATTAGAATAGAGCTGTGTGTGACGTTAGAAACGTGTGCGGTTGCAATTGGTTAAGATTATTGTTCCCCGATCCCACTATCCTATAAATCTGTACGATTATTGATTCAGAGTAGACACACCAATTGGTATTTAAAAAAAAATTAAAATAACAATTTTAAGTACGGCATATCTATTGCCGCTACACCTTTTAATTATTTTTTTTATCTCAAAGCTACGGATGGGTTGACGACTGAGAAAAAACAACGAATTTTCACAAAAATAGTTATCCCGCAATGACTGTATACTATTTGGAGTTAATGTTAATTTCAATATACAAGGTGTGTAAAATTTGTATTTTTTTATTAACACTTTTTAGGTCCAGTGTCCACAGGTATTGCACATATAGTTTTGCAATACATTAGTCTTAGGACCGCAAAGGGCCAACGTTAACTAGGAATCGAGCGACGCTTGGAACGTGCCCTTCTTCTAACGAGGCCTGTGGAGAGTACTTGATAGGCAGCGGCTTGGCTCTGCCCCTGGCACTGCTGACGTCCATGGGCGACGGTAACCACTCACCATCTGGTGGGGACGTATGCACGTCTGTATGCACTAAAATGAGGGTACGCAGTTAAGTATCCACCACATGGAGGATTCGTCGTGACACAGTCTTACTAAAACGATCAGCATAGAAGTAACCTAGTACATTTGGAAGATTACTAAGACATCGTTAGGCTTACGGATGTCGGCGTGAAGGAGATCGGCGTCGACTGCTTGACGTGCTGCTGCTGCTGCTGCTGCTGGAGCTGCTGCATCTCGTGTCGGCGGCGGTAGTTCTCGCGCTGCTCCTCCAGCTTCTTCTTGATGAGCGCGCTGTGCATGATGGACTGCGTGTGCGCGGCCAGCTCGCGCGGGGACGGGATGCGCGCGGGGCCGCTCGCTGCGTAGTTCGTTAATCGTTAGTACGAGTTGCGAAGTGGAACTACTTGCATGAGGGTAATTTTGAAGTGAAACTTCTAATGCGACTTCCAACGAGGTTGCGTTAAACGTTCAACGCTACTATACTAGAAAGAGAAATGGAGATCGAGAAAAATACACGCTATTAGTTGAATGTATCGTNGCGGGGACGGGATGCGCGCGGGGCCGCTCGCTGCGTAGTTCGTTAATCGTTAGTACGAGTTGCGAAGTGGAACTACTTGCATGAGGGTAATTTTGAAGTGAAACTTCTAATGCGACTTCCAACGAGGTTGCGTTAAACGTTCAACGCTACTATACTAGAAAGAGAAATGGAGATCGAGAAAAATACACGCTATTAGTTGAATGTATCGTTCAGTAGTGAAATATTAGAACTTTAAATGGCAATTCAATCACATAACGTCTTGTACTACAGTAAACGCAGATCTTTTTTATTTATCTATATTATCATTAGTCTCAGTTATATACAGTGTGTAAACAGTGAGTTAAATTTATAAATAATGTGACTTGTGTGTGACTTCTGACATGTGTACTTTGTTCGCACGCACTTTTTTTTTCGTAAGCTATTACCCAAAATCCTTGTGTAAAATGAATTAAAGCAAAAATCCATATCAAAACAAATTGATTCCAATTTTTCGTTCGATCTAGTTTCAAATCGCAATTTTTCATTTCAAACATTTTCAAATTAATTTAGTACTACTTATCGATAATTAAAATATAGCTCTACAAATATTGTACCTGTGTGATGTACCGTCAGCGTGTTCGGACTGGTCGCCATTATTGGGGACACACAGAACGCTGCGTCCATCGGGAGGAAATTTACACAATGCATATTAGTGTTCGCGCTCAGTCCGATCGAAATTCGACTCTAACCACAGACACTTTAAGATCCATTTGTTCTGTTTCGTTATTGACTCAGTTCGGTCGAAATTCGACTCTAATTACGACACTTTAAGATCGCATTTGTACTGTTTCGTCATCGACTCAGTTCGATCGAAATTCGACTCTAATTACAGACACTTTAAGATCGCATTTGTACTAACTGTTTCGTCATCGACTCAGTTCGATCGAAATTCGACTCTAATTACAGACACTTTAAGATCGCATTTGTACTAACTGTTTCGTTATCGACTCAGTTCGATCGAAATTCGTTAACGTTTGAATTCTGAACATGTTCTCGCATTGTTGTTGTCTACGAGCAACAGTGATTACTGCGACCGTACGCTCATCAGACTTAAAAATAAAACAATAGCGCTCTGTTCCAGGTCGCACGTCACATCCGTTTCTGATGTTCTCACAGTCCAAAGCTTGTTATATTTTTTGCTAATTTTCGCTGACGTCACGAACAGGCTTGCGTCATCAGTGGCGGATTTGCAGTCTCGGCCGCCCTAGGCCCCAAGCCATCAGCCACCCCTTTCTCAGATACCCCATATAGACTACATAATTAATTTACTTTATTGCCAACTTTTATCTAAATAGATTAAAAAATTTAGGAAAAATTTTTAGTTTAAAAAACAGAAGAGTTTTTAAGGATGCGGCATAGATTGCACCATGCAGTGCAGTCCGCCCGCCATATAAGTTTTTTGACACGATCGGGGCTGCCCCTAAATCTGGCCGCCCTAGGCCTTACCGGGCCTTAGGGTAAATCCGCCACTGTGCGTCATCATCATCACAGACGTCTAGTGTTGCCAGTTCCACCGGCGACTGCGTACCTTGGTGCGGCAGGGGCGACAGGCGCAGCGGCTGGTGCGGCGGGGGGGCGAGGTGCGCGCCGCACGGGAGGGGGGAACTCATCTGCACGACCAACAAAATGAACATTGAAAACCTTCTACAACCATTTTTTTTATTACTTAGATGGGTGGACGAGCTCACAGCCCACCTGGTGTTAGGTGGTTACTGGAGCCCATAGATAACGTAAATGCGCCGCCCACCTTGAGATATAAGTTCTAAGGACTCAGTATAGTTACAACGACTGCCCTAATCTTCAAACCGAAACGCATTACTGCTTCACGGCAGAAATAGGCAGGCCGGTGGTACCTACCCACGCGGACTCACAAGAACTCCTACCACCAGTAATTACGCAAATTATAAACCTCAGTAAAATTAAATGAAATTTCTAACAGTGTTCTGAGGTGGGTTTTGAGTCAAATCATATTCGAAGTGGGAAGTAGTTTGTTACGACACTACTAGTTTATTAGTGTTTTTTTATTACATACCAATCTAATATAGCCCTAATTTATATCAGGCTGGTTTTATAGAAGCACCATGAAGACATGATCAATGATTTGGTGTAGATTTAGCAAGCAAGTTACAGTGCAGTGTACTCCGGTACCTGTCGTTGTTGGTGATGCAAACGTAGGATGGTGAGAAGTATCTCGCGGTGTCTGCTCTGCAGGCCCGGGTTGCTGAGCTGCTGCATCAGGTGCTGGACCGTGATCTCGCCAGCTTTTAAGCCTATAACAATTAAATATTAGTGTTTCCTTCAAGCTAGTAGTAAGTAGGGCGTAATTTCAATACAGACAGATACCACTGTTCTGCCTGTTTCTACCGCGGAGCAGGTATGTATTTTTGTTTGTAGATTAGATTTTTTATGCTATTTAGAGTGTAATTGAAGACCTGAGTGGATGAAGGGGTTAAGTACAGATTTTTGAGTTTTAGAAGGTGTTATGTGCCTATAAACCATATTAGACTATAAAACTTCGTGTTTAAAGGCTATTTTTAGAAATTGAATTTGATGAAGGAGTTTTGTACTAAGAAAAATTACAAGTAACAAAAGTTTGTTGCTCATTTTCTCAAAGTTAACAAATACATAATATCATATCCCCTTCGTCCACTCAAGTCTTCAATTATTAAGGGGTTGAGGATAAAGTTATTAGATATTACAACCCTTAAGGATATTTTATGATCCTCCTAAACTTGTACTCTTCATCTGCAATCATTTATAAGTTTCAAGCATCTCCGTCCGAGTAAACATCAAACAAAGGTTGTCAACCTCTATTTAATAACCATAATGTCTCCATTATCGGGTACAGTTCCAATCTCGATACGAGGTTATTATATTTATATTATTAACATTTTCTACTACGGCTGTTTGATTTTAAAAATTTGTGAACCTTTCGAATTCCGAGACATTCATATATTATGGTGACAACTACCGTTTATTTTTCTCTAAATAATATTTCTAGACTTTTACGTTTCATTTCACGCAGTGTCTTGAGGTTTGAGGCTGTTTAATCAATGTACCTTTTGCCAAAAAAATAAAAAAATGCTAAATTAAAAAAAACACTACACTGAGAATGTCTAATGTGTTCTATCTAATTCTCTCGCCGGTTGAATCCTATACATTTGTGTTTGTGTCTCTATGGACTTATTTTTTCGTTTCATCGAGTTCGAAATGACAACGATTCTAAAGAAGTTTCACTTCAAAAACCGTAAGAGTTGTTTTAATGACGTCTACGGTTCGTGAGAACACCAAGCTCGTTGCTCGACGAGGTTCCGGTACTGACCGTGCACGATCGCCTGAGCTTCGGGCCTCTGTAGCAGCTCGCGGTCCGAGGGCGTGATGACGGCTCCGTGGGCCGGCAGGTCCGGCGGCTGCTGCGGTCGCTGTTAACAAACATCACAACCATCAACAACAGTTTAATCACAGGAACCCGGACGAAGAAGAGGAAGAGGCAGACCTAAGAAATGGATGGATTGCGTGAAAGACGATATGTAATGTATGAAATGAGATAAGAAACAGCAAATTATTTTTTTTATATAATATCTAAATATATCAGTAATGATAACGAAGTGTGGCCGCTTTTTAGTATTAATAGTCCACTTAACATCCCCAAGTATTATCAATTACATACTTCCAAACTTTTCTTCTTCTTGTCCTTTATCCCATCCACGACGCGGAATGGGCGCAGCATGTCCTCTTTTTCCATTGAAGCCTATCCGTACGTCACCTCTGCGCTCAGAGCACTCTCTCGCATATAGATATCGTCTTTCACGCAATCCATTAGTATTTTTAGGACACCCCTCCTCTTACGTTACCATCTGCTTATACATTACTTCTAAAGTACATATTTATTATAAAACATAATTATTGATTATTACTCACCATGGTATGGGCGGGATGCTCGTCAGTATTGGTCAGCTGAAATGAAATAATATTAAAATTTTGAAACGAATTAGTTGAGTTTTGTTGCAACGCGGAATTTTGGTTCGATAATGATGGAATCATCACAAAAAAAAAAGCTTTAAAATTAACAGTTAAAACTAAATACCTGTTGGACTTGTAAGAGCTTGTATAGGAGCTCTTGAGGTATATGCGGTTGTTGTTGTTGTTGTTGCTGAGCCTTCTGTTGTTGTTGCTGTTGCTGTTGTTGTTGTTGCTGCTGTTGCTGCTCCATGCTTTTATTCAGCATCTGTTTTAAATACATTTTTTTTTATTTCGTGATCACATTAACAATTCAGTTCTGAAGAGTTACAAATCTAAAATTCAGAGAAACTAATATAAGTAAGCAATATTGTTCAATTATTCATTATATTCTCTTCAGTACCTATAATTAAGTTAAAGAGAAAAAGTTCGATACAAAAACGCCTAACAGTACCTAGGTTATAGTATTTTGATAATAAAAAAATCACAATTAATATAATATAGTATTGGGTGTGAATGCGCACTTTCGAGTGCGTGCGTATGAGCGCGTGTGGGTGCGTGCACGTGTGCGTCCTTAATTTTGAGTGTGTAAGTTTGTGTAAGTGTGTGCATGTGAGTGCGTATTTCAGTTTGTGGAAATGAGTGTGTGCGCGTGAGTGCGTATTTGTTTGAGTAAGTCAGTGTGTGCGTGTGAGTGGATATTTCAGTTTGTGTAAGTGAATGTGTGCGTGTGAGTGCGTATTACAGTTTGTGTGAGTGTGTGCGTGCGAGTGCGTGCGTACGAGTGCGTGTGCGAGCGGGTGCGTGTGGTATACCTGCAGTAAGGTCATGGGTTGATGACGCGGAGGGTCGCCGGCTGCCACCGCGTGTCCGCCCGACACCTGCGCCAGCTGGAACAAACGTCGACACATCGTATATTACAAGTCGGACAATTGCAAAGCCAAAATTACATCAATACGGTTTAAGCCAACGAATGCAACTTTAGAAAGTAACATAAATATGCTTTCTAAGGTTTTACTTATAAACATCGTCGATCGTGTTTGAAATGCTAATGCAAAAGACTACCTACTATCAAATGTCGATATTAAATTGAAAATTTTTTTATACCTTAATTTAATATAATTTGATATTTGCTCTTGATTTTTATACCAAAATATTTATAGTTACCTCGTATTTAGGCAAAATTAAAATACGTTATACGAAACTCACGAGTCGTTTAAATGCAGTGAGATCGTGGTCGGGAACGTTGTGATGCTGTACCGGCTGCGGCCGAAGTCGAGCCTCCAACTCTTCGAGACTATGCACCTTGCCGCCAATCGATGTCGCCTCTGAAACATATTTACATATCACATATATTCTCCTCGCGTCGATAATCCTCAATGCTGAGGGTTGTGGCTTCCTCTAATCACTTCCTCCTGGATTATCCTGCGCCATTTCTTTTTTTTTATTACTTAGATGGGTGGACGAGCTTACAGCCCACTTGGTGTTAAGTGGTTACTGGAGCCCATAGACATGTACAACGTAAATGCGCCACCCACCTTGAGATATAAGTTCTAAGGTCTCAGTATAGTTACAACGGCTGCCCCACCCTTCAAACCGAAACGCATTACTGCTTCACGGCAGAAATAGGCAGAGTGGTGGTACCTACCCGTGCGGACTCACAAGAGGTCCTACCACTAGTAATGCACGCGCGCCGTTTTTTGTTATTAGTAGTAAGTTGAGAAGGTACCTGGGCGGGCGTCGTTGGCGCGCAGCAGCAGGTCGAGCAGCGAGGGGGGCGCGCGGGGCGGGGCGGCGGGCGCGATGGGCGCGAACACGGCCTCGCGCGGCGGCGGACTCTCCAGCTCTGCAACGCGACCAACCCCGCTCCACTATAACTACGATCTAAGACTACAAGTTTATAACACAGTACAATCTACTGGTGGTAGGACGTCTTGTGATTTTTTTTTCCTACCTAAGCTGATAGCCTTGAGAGGCTATATCAGCGTAGCCTTAACTAGTAGGGAGAGCTCACGTTCAAATACATGCAGGAACGGAACGGAACGGTATGGATGAATGTCAGATATGGAGCATGACTGAGTGAGAGAGACAGGAGATGTGGTTTAAGCATGACTGAGTGAGAGAGACAGGAGATGTGGTTGGAGCATGACTGAGTGAGAGAGAAAGGAGATGTCGTTGGAGCATGACTGAGTGAGAGAGAAAGGAGATGTCGTTGGAGCATGACTGAGTGAGAGAGACAGGAGATGTCGTTGGAGCATGACTGAGTGAGAAAGAGAGGAGGTGTCGTGTTAGAAAGTAAGAAAAACGGCGAATGAATGCGGAACACTTCGTTTTATTTCTTAAACGTGAGGATGGTAGTTACCGGACGCGGCGGCAAACAGGCGGGGTGTATCTCTAGAGACGTAAGACGTTTATATTTTAGTTACATAGATTAAGACGATTAAGACGAAATAAAAAATCAAGTTTGTATGAAGTCATCAACCGTTTCACTGGCCCAAACCTCAATAGAAAACCCCACATACAGTGTCAGCAGGGAAATGATACGCTTTTCACTAATCCACTTGTCCTTAGAAATAGATAGAAAAAAAAAAGATATTACCATCGACAATATTGTGGAGCAGTCTCTCGTAATGCTTGTCGTTTGTCGGACTCTCCCGTCTGAACCATTGACTAAAACGACTTCCGCCTTCGGTTTCGCTTCCGCCGTTCTAAAACGCACAAATGATTCGAATTAAATTTACATAAATATACAGACTTAGGATCCAGATTTAACATTGTTATTAATTATTACTTCGCTAAAATATCATCCCCCCCCCTTCTCGTGGGTTTTGTAAAAGAGATTCCAGGGGATTCACCGGCGAATAGACAGCAGTTGTCCAAGTATTATATTAAGAAACTGCAATTATAATGCGCCGTATTGTAATGTATTCCTATTTTAAAATGAATTGGGTCACAGGCTTTACAATACGATCGAGGCATCAGACCTCACGTCTCAATATGAGTGTCGGCATTCACGTTGTGATGTCCAGGGGTCCGATGGACATGGACAACGACAATCCTAGGGGCCCAGGGTACTAACTCAATGATGTCACAACGATAGAAGCGAACGGAGTATAATGTATTTAAATGACCGGTTACCGTGAGTACATCAGGAATCGTGTCAAACTTGAGGAACTCGTCCAGGTTGAACTCCGGCTGGTCGTTGTTCTGATGAACGTCTTCCGTCTTCGACTCCACTCCTGAATCCTTGTCCTTAATTACATTAAAAAAAAAAATTATCACATGAAAAAATTTAAATGTACCCACCCTCCCTCCTCTAGTAATTTTTGGCGGGAACGCGAGGGAACGAAGTTGTGCGGATTGTTTTGTTTTGTCAGTTCATTGAATGTGCATAAGTATTGGGAAAATATAATAACAGTCGCCGGAGGAGGCCATTCGGGTTTAACAAAAAAAAAACCCACAAAGTCTCAGTAAATTCACTATCGTTTTACTGGAACGTAATTTTGTTACATCTAAAGATGTGTAGCTCCTGAGTGAGTAATCTAAAAGATATATATCACTCAAACCGATATAATGTATCACTAACTCTTCACGCTAATTTCGTTTCGACGTATGACTAATGTCAAGGAAAAATGTACATTATTTCTATAGGAGCAAAGTTTAACATAACTCATGTATTTTTGAATAAAATTTATATTTGCTTTATTCTTACATAAAAAGGTAGCCATTACATAATTTGCGAAGTTAATATTACGAATAATGCGATGCTATATCAAAAAAAAACATTTAACAAAGTTTCTTAATTTGTTTAGTTCTATGGTAAGCTGCATGTTGTAGATATTCAATGCTTTTTTTTAATGCTTACTTTTTTATAATTTTTTTTTTTTATATAACAAAAGAGTATTTATTTATAGTCAATTGTGCCCTAGTGTAAACAAGAAGAAGATGAACTACCCACATAAATCGACAGATATAGTTTCTTTGACTATACTGAGACCTTAGAACTTATTTCCCAAGGTGGGCGGTGGCATTTACGTTGTAGATGTCTATGGGCTCCAGTAACTACTTAACACTAGGTGGGCTGTGAGGTCGTCCACCCACTAACGAAATAAATAAAAAAAAAACAAATTTAATACATTCCCTATTTTAAGTACACCTATAATAGTATTTATGGTGTTCAATAAAGAAAGGCGAAATCGCATTTCTCTGAAAAAACAACAGGAAACAACATTTAATGCCCTTTCTTCAGGTTTAATTATTATTTCAATAATTCTTTATAACACACAAAACTTTCTTTCACAACATTCATTAAAACCGAAAGATATTTATTTAAACAACTGTCAATCGTCATAATAAGACAGATTGACAGTGACATCTAATAATTAACATTCAATCGTTCCGTAACTGATGTGATAACGCGGTAAATAAAATTTTAAGGAATACTACTAATTTTTTTTTTCGGCTGGCAACACTGACCGCTACTTGTCAATATTATTGTGCTCTCCCAATTATTATTTAAATTAAATAGTTATAAGTTCTTTATTGTACTTATAATTGTATAAAACATATACCTAAGTGATAATATAAGTTTATTGTTACGTAAAACATTTAATTAGTGCATTTTACTGCATAATTGTAAAAATTTTTATTTTTTATTTTTACGTGGGTACTATCAATTTCTGCAAATCCAAAATGATGACCAGAGGTACCAAAGCTCGTCAAGTTGATGACCAACTTCAAGTGGCTCTTCAACAACTGAAAACATCACGGGAACAGTGTCAACAACTGTTAAAAGAGAGAGAAGACAACGAAGTCGAAACACTCCAGGTAATTAAGAAAAATACTATGTTGAAAGGACAGTTGTCTCAGCTCTCCATTGAATACAATGAAGCTCTTGAGACTAACAAGAAATTACAAAATGTTGTAGACGGCTTCGATCAGTGCAGCGGTGAGTATGTTGAGTCGCTCCAACTCTCAGCTGAACTGAAAGTCAAACTTTCTCAGGCACATGATTGTATCTCTAATTTACAGTTAGAGATAACAAATCTAAAAGCCCAAAAAACACAGAGCCTGTACTCGGAACTGATCGAGAGTGAACCAGCTTCGGGAACAGTGATCACCACCTCTGAGTGTGACATACCTACAATAGATTTGACTGGTGGTGACTCCGATTGTACACATTCCTCTCGATTAATTCTTAGTAAGAAAAATGATAAGAGATACACTAAATTAAATAAGTTTATAAATAAAACGCAGCAACTATTGAAATCTAGAAAATCTATTAATTATATAAAGACTATATGCAAAGAACGAAATGCACTGCGTACAAAACTAATTATTTCACTTGAAAAATTACAATATGTTCATCACAATCATGAGTTAGAAATAGAAAAGTTAACCTCACAAATAAATTCATTGAAAACAGATTTGGACAGTGTTACTAAAAATTATGAATATGCCCAAAAGGACATATGTGAACATATATCGGTGATGGATAATCTGCTTGATTTATGTAATAATAATAAAGAGCGATTTGAATCNAAAATAAGCAACTCTTTCAGGGGGCTGGGTGTACAGCTTTTCAACAAGATCCCACAAAACGTTCAACTACTACCTGTTCATAGATTTAAGAAAACTGTCAAGGAACGTTTGTGCAACAAGGCATATTATAAAGTTAAGGATTTTTTACTAGATGGCACTACGTGGGAATGAGGCGTTCGCTCCTGGCCTTTTCATTTTTAATTATTATTATTATTTATTTGAATTGTATTTTTTTGACTTGTTTTTTTGTATACTGTAAATATGTTTTCTTGTTTTAAAAAAAAAAAAGAAAATAGTTGAGAAAATACAAAAAAAAAAAAAAGCCCGCTGAGTTTGTTTCGCCGGTTCTTCTCAGGACTGTGGCTTTTTTTGGAACCGGTGGTAGAGTTAACATTTTCTTTTACATTTTGACATTCAACAAGTGTGTTTTTGATGACATCCAAGTTGAAATAAATGATTTTGAATTTGAATTTGAATTTTGAATTGTTCAGGTGATTTTCCTTTAACCATTCCATTAACCATTACTTATTGGTAGTTTTCCAATTACAGAGCATAATGCGATTCAGTGACGCACAATGCCAAATTATGCTGAAGCTTAGTTGAGCATTATGCCGCATAATGCGCTCTTGTGCCTTATAGTCAATACAACATACTGTCTGCCCGCGTTTCCACCGACCACTCGCCGTCAGGGAGGCCGCGGAAAAGTCTAATCGAAATCTACTTACATTGCTGGTATTGACAGAGTCGATGGTGGGCTGCGACAGGGGCGAGGACGTCTCGCGCCACCGCTCCGACGGAGACCGCGAGCCGCCGCTGTTGCTGCGCTTCTGCAACATTCAGCCTCGACTTACTGCTGGTAGGACGTCTTGTGAGCCCGCATGGGTAGGCACGACCACCCTGCCAGTTTCTGGCGTGAAGCAGTAACGCGTTTCGGTTTGAAGGGCGTGGCAGCCGTTGTAACTATACTTGAGAATTTCGAACTTATATCTCAAGTTGGATGGCGCATTTACATTGTAGATGTCTATGGACTTAACACCAGGTGGGCTGTGCAATCGTCCACCCATAAACGCAATAAAGAAAATGTAGTCTAAGAGCTCAGAATTGCAAAGAAACGGCAAGCTACACGTGGACAATAACGTCACACAATGACAAAAATTGAAATTTTATTAATTACTAGCGACCCGCCCTCGCTTCGCTTCGGAACATTAAAACACACATGAAACCAAAAAAATAAATAAAAAATAAATAAAAAAAAGTAGCCTATGTTCATCAGGGACAATGTCGGCTTCTAATGGAAAAAGAATTTTTCAAATCGGTCCAGTAGTTTTGGAGCCTATTCGAAACAAACAAACAAACAAATCTTTCCTCTTTATAATATTATTAATTACATCGGTCTCCTTTTCGCTGGCGGTCCCGTTCTTCTTGGGCGGATCGTCGAAGCCGCGAAGCTCGATGGTCTCCAGTTGAGACGTCGGTCCCCCACTGAACCTGTGATCAACATTGAATGCTCCTAATCTAAGTCAATTCTCAACTATTTAATTTATAAAACTACCTATTCAGAGTCGTAAAAATTAAAAATAGTATTTTGTGTACGGAATATGAAAGTTTTTATAAGTAATAGTCGCTGAGTTTTTTTAAATATTATCTGCCTACATTGATAGGTGAAGTCAAATCGACATATTTTTAGTTCTACACATAGAAAGCTAGTAAATTCTCATGGAACCCCGCTTACTAATTGTAAGCCTCATTTTTTTGTATCGACCTCCATCGAGTGTCCCGTGGACCCCTGGGGTTCCACGTGAACTTTGGTAAATAAGGGTTTAGAGTGTAGAGATCGTAAAAACAAGAGATACCAAGGAAATCACAACAGCATACACAAGAATTCGTATATAAAGTAGATTCGATTTTATAATATTTTATAACATATCAATATCTTTAAAACTACCAGCGCACCGCCTGTCGCACTTTGATGTTTTTTTAATGCTTGAAGTATTAACTGGTGGCCCGGAGGCCTTACCAGTTTCACCAGGACAAATGGGCGAGCAGAGGCTCAGCCAGGAGGGGTAGGATTTGCTAACAGCTGCCCGAGCGCTTACGAAGAAGACCTAACAACTCAAGAGCAGCTGCTTCGAGAATGAATCTACTACCGAATCGGAATCGCGACCCGCTGAGAAGATCCGGCGAGAAACTCAGCGAGCTGATGTATGGGTTAGGTTGCAGGTGGCCGAGTTCGACGAGTACGGTTACCGGGGTTCCTCAGCCTGCTCCTAGTGTTAGAGCTGAAGGTATCTAATGCAAGAGTTATTGGATCTGATGGATCCGTAAGGACGTGTCTAAGGCGACGACGGTTACTTGCTCCTGCGTGATCAGGATTCGGGGAACTTTGATAGTACCACGTTACCATCTGGTCATAACCAAACCTTGCCTGCAGTGCCAATAGCAACTGCACCGAGTTTCATCACAACCGCATCAATGGTATAGAAACGCATAAAGAGAAAAAATATTTGATTTGATGAATGATTTTTACTGGTGGTATCGGGTGTCACAAATCCCCACCACCACCATCCCCACCTTTGAAGATAATATAAAATACATTTGAGACTTTCGAATGTACGTTTGGTATTTATTATCCCTGAGCTTCGGTGACCATTTAAAGCAATAAAATTAATCCAATTATATACTGACCACTCGGGTTCCTCTTCCTTGTCGTATCGGCGCTGGTTGTATCGGTTATTCCTGCGGGGCTCGTCTCTGAAACGAACAAATCAACTTGTGAGATTTATCAGCACTTTTTATTTATTTATTTCGTAGATGGGTGGACGAGCTCACAACCCACCTGGTGTTAAATTGTTACCGGAGCCCATAGACATCTACAACGTAAATGCCGCCACCCACTTTGAGATATGAGTTCTAAGATCTCAGTATATAAATCGAATATATCTAACACCATTCAAAAGTTATCTTACGGTACCCCAAACGAAACTAAGAGATTGCTTTCTAGACCATGAGTCTAATGTGAAGTACCGTTGCATTGCGACGAAGGTCTCGTCGAGTAAATTAACCCACAGACACAGCCCACTGAGTTTCTCGCCGGATCTTCTCAGTGGGTCGCGTTTCCGATCCGGTGGTAGATTCTGCGAAGCACTGCTCTTGCTAGGGCCCGTGTTAGCAACAACGTCAGGTTTGAGCCCCTTGAACCTACTTGCCCGGGTTACGCTGGTATAACTCTCTAAGGTTATCATAGCTTAGACAGGAAAAAATAAAAACATCGTCTACCAATTCCTATAGAGATATGGCTGTCCAATCCCTACCATCGACCGGTAGGGTTGGCAGTTTCTAAACTAAATAATGTAAAGCTTTCACAATATTCACCTGTCCCTGATCTTGTCGTTGTTGAAGCGGTCGTCGCGTTCTCGCTTCAGATCCGAGGGGTAGGAGTCGCGACCGAACGAACGACGTTCGTACCTGTTACATTAACACACAAAAACATTCCTAAAGGTTTCGTCAAACAGAACGCGTAATTAGCGCGCGTCAGAGGGCTAAACAGACGGCGCGCTATGACGCCGAGATGTGTTGTACTACTATGGTAACATACCGTCAAACAGAGCCCCAGCGCTATAAGTACGCAGCGCTCTGTCGCGGCTTTAGGACGCTTTGACGTCAGGCGTTGTAATTTTTTACAAATTTTATTTTAGCATCCGAGTGAATGTGCATTAAAATACTGGATAATGCCCGAAAATTTGATAGAAATAGTTAGAAAATACCCATGCTTATACAATGCCACATCTGAATCACTCGACATCTTAATACTTTTAAATTTTCACAATGCTATCGAAAGGCAACTATGATTTGGCGAATGCGTTGCGTCAAGGAGCATTGGGCTCATCTAGTCAATTTGTGTGACATGAAAGAACGCGACGTTAAAAAGCGACGCTATAACGCAGCGCTAAGTACGCGTTCTGTTTGACGAAGCCTTAAGTATCGACTGAGCCTTAATAGCGTTTCACCGCAGTTAACATAATATAGAAAATAAATAATAGTTTAAAAAAAACTAACAAAATACGCTTTTCTAGAAAATCCAACTAAAAATAGAAAATAAATTTTAATAAATTTGAATAAAAAATAGGGTAAGAAAAATTATTTTATTGTAAAAAAAGGCGTGGGGTGCATGGTATCAGTAGTTATAAATATTTTATTATTAGTTATTAATATTTTATATTGACCTGTCAGCATTCTGTCGTTCCCTGGGCGGTCGGTAGGGCTCCGGTCGGTACTCGGGCTCCTCCCAGGCCGCGCCGCCCGGCCCTCCCGCTCCCCCCACTCCGCCCGCCTCGCGCACCATGATACGACCCGAACCTATACGACGACCCGCTGCGTGCAAACAACGAACGTTCAAACATAATACCTTGAATTATCATAATTCTATATTATCACTAATCGTGTTACCCAAAACTTTCGAAATTTAGTAAAAAAACGTTTTTTTATTTTTCCTTAAATTTTTGGCAACATTACTGAGAATCCAAGTATATGTAGCCTTTTGTCTTTCAACTGAAGTATCAATATAAACAACGGAAATTTCGTGAAGAAAAAAACCGTTGAAGCTAAAAAGCCCGGGTAGCAACTTCCCAAATTAAGACAAAACAGGGAATGTTATAAAAAAAATGGTATCCACGTGATCGTAAGCCCGCCAAAAGTTATTTATCGATTATAAATAACAGAAACGTCGTGATGCGCTACACACGAGATGGTTTCGTCAGGATTTATCTTAAGATACCGATACACCGACTGCGATATTTTTTATTTATTTATTTATTTCCAACTACATCTCCAAGTGATTTTTTTTAACACGAAGCTAATACGTATTGATAATAATGAAAAAAGTAGATTACAAAATGTCGGCCGTAATTTACAACGTCGTGTCAGTCTGAAGACACGCGTCACCTGTTACTGCCTTATCATCTAGGCCTCCAATGCGACTAGATACAATAGATACAAACCAGAACTCGTTTTAATATTTAAGAGGCCACATTTGAAATTCAAAACGCCATTTGCAAATCGAAAACATTTTGCGCCGCTGTATACATGCAAAGTTGTTTACAAAACATATTTCATTGATTTTCAGAGTGCATTATTGTTCCTATAAAGCCTTCGTCAAACAGAACGCGTAATTAGAGCGCGTCAGAGCGCTAACCCGACGCCGCGCTATGACGCCGAGATGTGTTGTAATACTATGGTAACATACCGTCAAACAGAGCCCCAGCGCTATAAGTACGCAGCGCTCTGTCGCGGCGTTAGGACGCTTTGACGTCAGGCGTTGTAATTTTTTACAAATTTTATTTTAGCGTCCGAGTGAATGTGTATTAAAATACTAGATAATGCCCGAAAAAAATATAGAAATAGTTAGAAAATACACATGCTTATACAATGCCACATCTGAATCGCTCGATTTCTCAATACTTTTAAATTTTGACACTGCTATCGAAAGGCACTATGATTTGGCGAATGCGTTGCGTCAAGGAGCGTTAGACTCATCTGGTCAATTTGAAGAGCGCGACGTTAAGTGCGCGTCGCTAAGTACGCGTTCTGTTTGACGAAGGCTTTAATCTATGATTTACAAATTTGTATCTGACACGTAAACCGCCTTATATTGAGCGTTTTTTCCAATAGGCATTAGTGATATCCTACAGTAATCGTCAACGTCCACTGAGTTTCTCACCGGATCTTCTCAGTGGGTCGCGATTTTAATCCGGTAGAAGATTCAGCGAAGCACTGCTCTTGCTAAGGAGGCTAGGGCTAGGGCTTTCAGATTGAGCCCGAGGGCTCACCTAACCGTCCGCGCCAAGCTGGAATAGCCCCTTAGGCTACCAGCGAATAAGTAGGTAAACAATTGAGGGAAAATCACACACGGTCGCCTGGTCCTAAGCTATAAGTCTCTATGTTATAGAGTACATACTTATATTACTTGTGGTAGGGCGTCTTGTGAGCACGAATCGGTACCACCACCTTACCTATTTCTGGCGAACCTACCAGCTGGCTACCAGCGAATAGGTAGGGAAGCAAGAGGGGTCGTCGTACCCCCTTACGGGTGCACGGAACGGGCCTCGGGGCGAACCCCACTGCCCGGGCAGAAGCTCCCTGCTATGAAAGGCAGGGGTGAAGTTGATGCGGGGGGGACATGAGAGGGGGCTGCTCGCAGCGTGCTCAGCACACCTACATCGACATACATACATAAACATATACGATGGCTTGAATCGAATCCTGCCAGGAGTGACGCTCGGCAGCAAGCTCCTACCGGCGTTGTGCTGTCGTCTGCTCCGGTTTTTTTCCCCTTACTAGCTAACTACAAACCACTAACTACAACATAGGTAGGGAAAATATAATAGACTGCTAATATAGTATACCTTGTTCGGTTTTTTGGTGTGCGTGCGCGTTGGGGGCGTTACCCGGCGGCGCGGGGGCGGGGGAGGCGGCGCGGGGGGCGGGCGCGCCGCACCCCGACGTGAAGGAGCGGCGCTGCGGGGACAGCACGATGCCGCCCGCGCTCGCCTCGCTCTCCCGCCGCACGCGCTCCCGGGGGTCGGCCGCGCGACCTCCGCGACCGTATACGCCCTGACGTGACGCAAATACATACAGTAATATCCTTTATAACACGGTACTCTTATAGCGCGTTTTGATATTACGCGATTTGTCCCCCGTACAACACGGGTATTCCCACTATTCCTCGATATAACGCCGCGATTTCACACGTTATATAATATTTCGGTACTGTACATTTATAATGATTTTTACAGTTTTGAAGTCGTCGTGGCCTAAAGGATATGACGTCCGGTGCATTCGTATCGTATCGTAGCGTGCATTGGTGAACGAATCTCGCAGGCAAAAAAAAAAAAGCACTTTACAAATGTTTACTATTGACTTCCACGGTGAAGGAATAACATCGTGTAATAAAAATCAAACCCGCAAAATTATAATTTGCGTAATTACTGGTGGTAGGACCACTTGTGAGTCTGCACGGGTAGGTACCCTGCCTATTTCTGCCGTGAAGCAGTAATTCGTTTCGGCTTGAAGGGCATGGCAGCCTTTGTAACTAAACTGAAAACTTAGAACTCATATCTCAAGGTGGGTGGCGCATTTACGTTGTAGTTGTCTATGGGCTCCAGTAACCACTTAACACCAGGCGGTCTGTAAGCTCGTCTACCCATCTGAGCAATAAAATAAAATAAAAATTAATACGTTAGTTATTACGTGTATGACGTTTGATTTCCTTCAAACTGCAGGAACTTTCTCACTATTCCGCATGTATTAAATATAGCTGCCTTTTGTAGTGAAATAAATATGTTATCTTTTAAATTTAGAAGGCTCTAAACTATTGTGGATGTGGTTTTTACCTTATTAAATTATTATTTATTTATATTTATTTAAAATCTTACTAATTACACAATATTTTTTTTAAAAATTATTAAAAATAAAAATAAAATAAAAAACACTATATAAAAATAGATTGTCGCTGATGGCAAATTAAAATTAATATTATTATAATGTTTTTACCTTATTACTATTACTATTATTATGATTTTCATTAGGAGCATCGCCTTTGGTGCCTCGGTCATCTTCGTTAGGCGATTCGGACCGTTTCTTCAAGACTCTGTAAAAAAGACACCATTTATTACTAGTGGTACCACCGCCCTGCCTATTTCTGCCGTGAAGCAGTAATAGGTTTTGGTTTGAAAGGTAATGCAGCCGTTGTAACTATTCTGAGACTTTAGAACTCATATCTCAAGGTGGGTGGCGGCATTTACGTTGTAGATGACTACGGGCTCCGGTAACCACTTACCAGGTGGGCTGTGAGCTCGTCCGCCAATATCTATACATATAAAAATGAATTTCTGTTCGTTACGTCTCGCTAAAACTCGAGAACGGCTGGACCGATTTGGCTAATTTTGGTCTTGAATTATTTGTGGAAGTCCAGAGAAGGTTTAAAAGGTTTAGATAAATATGAAAACGCTCGGAATTAAATAAAAACAACAATTTTGTTTTTCCTTTGATGTGTCCCCCGTCGGACGGATTCCTTTTGTTTGTTTTAAGTTTATTTTATACAAAAGTTTAGGTTTTTTATTTATCGATTGAGGCACTACAATGTCTGCCGGGTCAGCTAGTGAACGATGACCGGTGCTTGAGGCACCTAAAAACACCGTTATTGGATCGGGAGGATCCGAAATGACGTGTTTTGGGCGACGTCGACTGCTTTCCATTCTGTCCGCAGGATCGGAAATGTAGTTACCGGCAGCCACGATGAGAGGGTTCTCGTGTCGTGCCGCTTTGTCGAAATGCCAGAATCAATAACGGCCGCTAAAAACTATGATAATGTAGCGAAACATACAGCGCCAAAGCGTCACAGCCAACGAACGCCTTCTCCAAGTTCCGTTTGACGAGCGGAGAATTCCTCAGCTTCATCAGCTCCTCTCGAGTATACGTGAGAGGTTTCCGAGCTGGTCCCACGGCGAGTACTGCCGGATCACCGCCGCCACTCGACACACCGTTTTCTTCGTGACCTGTAAACAAAAAAAAACCCTCAATTTCTAATAAATCTATATATATAAATATGAATTGCTTTTCGTTAGTTTCGCTAAAACTCGAGAGGGGCTGGACCGATTTGGCTAATTTTGATCTTGAATTATTTGTGGAAGTCCAGAGAAGGTTTAAAAGAAAAAAATATGAAAATGCTCGGAATTAGATAGAAATAATTTTGTTTTCCCTTTGATGTGTCCCCCGTCGGACGGATTCCTTTTGGTTTGTTTTAAGTTTATTTTATACAAAAGTTTAGGTCTTTTATTTATCGATTGAGGCACTACAAAATCTGCCGGGTCAGTAATCTCAATAAATAATCTCAATTTATAGGCCAAGCATATACAAAGCATAAACCATTCGTAAAACATCGATACTGATGTTTTTGTATCCAGTACTTTTTTTAATGCTTAGATGGGCGAACGAACTCACAGTCCACCTGGTGTTAAGTGGTTACTGGAGTCAATTACCTAAGCATATTATCAAACCAATTATAACCTTAATCAGATATTTATGTTTTATTAATTTTCTCCAACTAGACTATCGTTGAAACAAATACAATGATATTTATTTGTACGTATGCTTTTATATTAGACCAATATAGGTCACGAATCGACGAATCGACCTTTTTTTTTATTGCCCTTGTAGGCAGACGAGCATGCGGCCCACCTGATGGTGAGTGGTTACCGTCGCCCATGGACTTCAGCAATGCCAGGGGCAGAGCCAGGCCGCTGCCTAACGCTCAATACTCTCCACAAGCCTCGTTTGAAGAAGGACATGTCATAGCGCTCGGGAAACACCGTGGAGGGGACCTCATTCCATAGCCGGATGGTACGTGGCAAAGAAGACCTTATTGATCGTTAGTCCTTAGGTCCTTAGTGGCTTTATTAACTAGATCACAACGCTTTTATAATTATAAACGACGCAACTTTATTTATCCACAATCATTAAACGACTTAACAAAACTAAAATACGTGTCAAACAACCTAAACGGTTAGAGGTGATGAAATCATTTAAAAGCTGAAAGGGGCTTTGTTTGAACACAATCGATAAACAATTTGTTGGCTCCAGTTTATCAAACGACACAACTTCCTAACGTATGCAGATAAAAGCGAACGTTGTGTAAATAAAACTGAATTAAATCATGTTAAATGTAAACAATAACCGCACGATAGCTGTTCAATTCATAGTTTATAGAAAACAATAGTTTTAAATTAAGGAGCTAGGCGAAGGCGATTTGACTTGTACGATTCTTTTTCTTTATACCTACATATTTATACATTGTACAAATATTTTCATACCTACATTGTACAAATATATCTGCTTGTTGACTTTTTTTTTTTAATGTTGAGTTTTGGTGTGCATTATTGTATGTTCTCTCTCTCTCTCTCTCTCTCTCTCTCTCTCTGTCTCTGTCTCTCACTCACTCACTTACTCTCTCTCATTCTCTCACTCACTTTCTTTCTCACACTCTAGATATTCGTATTCGTAAACATATGTTGGTTTATGATTAAATAGTAAAATGGATACAAATATTAATTTAGACCTCCCCTCCCCCCCTATTTTAGTACCGTTAATGGATATGTATGTACTGTATACCTATTGTAGCTTTAAGTATATATCCAGCCCTCTAGCGTCAATAGAATTTAAACAAACATTTTTTGCGTTAATATTTCAATAATTCGACGGACATCGATATTTCAAAATTACTCCGTCAACTTTACAAAATGCTACACGAAAATTCTTTAGGTGTGACATCATTCGAAATTGAAAGCTAATCATAGAGAATGCACCAAAACACATCGATTAGCCACATATGACATCACGCATTATCATCTAAGTATTTTAAAAGTTTTTTTTATTCATGTCCCGTTCCTTTTTTTTTTATTTTTTTTTTATAACAACTAAGAGTCAAACGAGCAAGACGGGTCACCTGATGGTAAGTGATTCACCGCCGCCCACGGTCACCAGCGTTTACGCCAGTGCGTTGCCTACCCTTCAGATAAAACCCTTATTCTCTATCTCCTTAGTTTCGAAGTGACCAATGCGTGGCATCCTTCTCGCAATATTTCCCGCACTCTTGATCAGATCGTCAGCCCGTATTCATTGTCATAGCATGTTACTATCGGTAATACAGCTCACTTCGCATCCAATAGACTATCATCCGTTACCCTAACCAATACAAATTTTAGGCTCCAATCAATAATACACAGGTAATTTTAAAAAAAAAAAAACGCAATCACTCGCATAACAATCGGCTACATCGTCCACACGTTACAAATAATCTGTTTACAAGCCCGAGCAACGGAGAAAGTTCTAGAGAATTCTAGAAAAATTAATACCGAAAATCTTTGAAACATCGAAAAACTCCATTTTCTATGGACAGGCCTCGTTGACGCCCATATATTGAGACTAGTTGCACGACCGAATTACGGTCGAAACTGCCGTATCCACGTAGGGCGGTGGTCGGTGCAACAACGCATTCCGGGAACCCTTTTAGATGTACCTAGCTACTGACTTCATCTAATAGGGGCGGGCTGCGTTCCCGGATAAATCAGTTTGCTGTTACCGGGACGGTTAGGTCATGCGATCGATGAACTAGACCCCGGGAAATATTGACGCACTAGTTATTCTAGGTCACGTGAAGATTTAATTACAGGATACAGGATTCGTTCAAAATCAAAGCGTCGCATCGACCAACATACCTACTCGACGTGAATTTCAAAATAGTGATTTCCCAACGACGATTACTGTTTGCTTGGTCCTTTCAAATTTTATAAATATGTACTAATTTTGGATAATAAAAAAATGATTAGCCTTAGAACCCTAGCAAGAGCCGTGATTCGCTGAATCTACCACCGGATCGGAATCGCGACGCACCGAGAAGATCCGGCGAGAAACTCGGTGGGTTATTTTCTCAATTGTTTACATAAAAATTGTCATAGATAACTCATAATCTCAATTTAAATAGCACATAATTACAACCTCAATTAATCTAAAAATACATTATTGGAAAAAGTTAATGAGCCCTTGAATCAATAGAGTAATCAAGTTAATAATTTCAAATTGAATTCCAATATTATTTACATCTACCTACATTTAATCACTACACAACGAAACACGTAAATTTCTCAAAACATTTTCGTATTACGGTTCGGAGACAAAATTCATCTCAATTTCCAGCAGCATGTTCGAAAAATCTTTTACGAAGTTAGATCCCTCAAGTCTATGTCCGCTGAATGAAATCCGATTTAAGAATATTTAATTACGAAGAAGCTAATGTAAAATAAAACACGCCATACTGTTTCGAATTTAAACCCACCTCCACAGGTCATGCCGTATTTGCTTTTTTCATTATTACTTATTTTTTTGGGAAAGGTGGACGAGCTCACAGCCCACCTGGTGTTAAGTGGTTACTGGAGCCCATAGACATCTACAACGTTAATGCGCCATCCACCTTGAGATATAAGTTCTAAGATCTCAGTATAGTTACAACGGCTGCCCTACCCTTCAGACCGAAACGCATTACTGCTTCACGGCAGAAATAGGCAGGGCGGTGGTACCTACCCGCGCGGACTCATAAGAGGTCCTACCACCAGTAAATATTATCGTATTTTCAAATGCACTAGCAGGTGTAGGAGCTAGTGACATTATTACAAATATTAAAGACGGTACCTACCCGTGCTGGTTATATTTTTATTCGTCACAAACATTTCCGTTCCAATCGAACGAACCAACACGGCATTACGATTTGCGAATCGGAATTAATCACTACATAGTATAAAACAAAGCCGCTTTCTCTGTCCCTATATCCCTATGTATGCTTAAATCTATAAAACTACGCAACGGATTTCGATGCGATTTTTTTTAATAGATAGAGTGATTGAAGAGGAATATTTATATGTATAATAACATCCATGAAATAGTGGAGAAATCAATAATAAATTACAGTTTCCGAAGCGAAGCGAGGGCGGATCGCTATATTCCCATAAAACAGACATTAGCGCTTTTTGTATTAAAAATTTGTTACGCCTGAACAGCCAACGACATTTATACGTTACAAGTACTCATCGCTTCCGACTTGGTCGTTACATAATTCGATTCTCAAAGTCTAAATTCAGTGTAGTTATAAGCTGACGTCACTTACACCATGATACACGCTTGACTCTTTTCGTTGGCGGGCCGGCGTGGACCTTCGGGGGTAGACTGGTCGGGACCTTCCTCAAGGAAGTTTGGTAACGCAGCAGGAAAGCGTGAACTGCACATTTCATGGGAGAAGTGTACTTCTCATAGCTCACGGCTGCTGCCACGGCCAGGGCTGCCGATGTCTTGCTTGAGCGCCTCCTAGACGCTCTCTTACCGGCCCTGCGTCTCTTACGACGGCCCTTCTTCATGGTTTCGTTCGCCGGTGGTGGATCCTTGCTCACCATGACGTAAACTCGAAAAAAGTTCACACGTGACACGACACAACAAAATGGCGGTTAACGAGTCAAAAACTAAACTTAACACTTAAACTACTAAAATAACAATAAATAAATATTTAAAAATATATATATATGAATATATAGTATTTATTTAAACCTAAGACTAGATGTCTGAGAGACGAAATCCGTCACGCGTATTTTCAAAGATCCGTAGGTACAGTTAATGTCTGCGTAAGATACTACGCAGCTTGCTGTCAGTGTGAGATGGACAAATAATTTGATAAATTATCGAAAAAACAAATAGTTTTCACCAAAATCGATCGCGGGACACGCGTAGTTAAAGGGCTCGTCTCAAAGACTGGAGACAAAAGGAAATACGTGTGGACGTTAAAACATTTAAACTACCTTCGTTTTAATAATATCTTTGTGTGTTAAGGTTCGCTTTAGACTTAACGCTGTTCAGAAAAAAAATCAAAATCAAATTACGTAGGTGCGGTAGGCAGCGGCTTGGCTCTGCCCCTGGCATTGCTGAAGTCCATGGGCAACGGTAACCACTCACCATC